TCAAAAAAAAAAAAAAAAAAAAAAAAAAAAAAGAGGGCAAGGTAGGTTTCTATGTAGTATATGGAAAGAGTTCTAACATACAATATTATGCATCAAAAAGAAAGTTGCAGAGTTATGCCATGATCCAATTTATATTTATATGCAGTATGTATGTATGTATATATGGGTGTAGACACAGTTTGGCTATACTCCAAGCAGTCAACAGTGTTTCTCTGGGGATGAAGAAAACTTTCATATTTTGTTCTATATGCCTTTTTGTTTTTTTGGACAGGGTCTTGCTCTATCATTCAGGCTGGAGTGCAATGGCGCAATCTCAGCTCACTGCAACCTCTGCTCTTCAGGATCAAGCAATCCTCCCTCCTCAGCCCCCAAGTAGTTGGGACCACAGGCGTTCACCACCATGCCTGGTATTTTTAGTAAAGACAGGGTCTCACCATGTCGCCCACGCTGGTCTTGAGCTCCTGAGCTCACGTGATCCACCTGTCTTGTGGATCACAAAGTGCTGCGATTACAGGTATGAGCCACCATGTCTGAATATTTTTTTTAATAAATAATATTTTTCTAAAAATATAGAGACCAGGGTCTCACTGTGTTGCCCAGGCTGATCTCAAACTCCTGGGCTTAAGCAATCCTCCTACCCTGGCCTTCCAAAGTGTTGAGATTACAGGCGTGAGACCATACGTAGCCTCCATATGCTTTTTATTTTTTAAATAAAAATTAAAATAGTTTACAAAAATAGAGACAAGGTCTCAGTATATTTCCCAGGCTGGTCTTGAACTCCTGACTGATCAAGTGATCCTCAGCCTCAAACTCCCAAAGTGCTGGGATTATAGGCATGAGCCACCACGCTTGTCCTCTGTAAGTTTTTTACTTGTGTAATTGTTTTTAGATATTTATAAACCAGAATAACCAAAAATACATCAAAATGATTTAATCTGGGAAGCAGAATGTTGGCGAGTGCTTCTTCAATCCCTCGTCTATAATACAATTATTCTTTTATACTAAAATGAATGCTTTCTAGACATAATTTATATTAGTGGCTTGTACCTCTGCTGATCCATGACCATAAGAAACTAGATTCGCCTTCTGTTTGCCCCAGTAATACCATCCTGGCTCTTACAACAGAATGTTTTCAGGGTATCCTTCTATGGTGGAACCTGAACCACGTATGCAATAGCCAAGGCACTTCATATGAAAAGCTAAATTCAAGCTTTGTGCGGTGGCAGTATCGTAGCCAATGAGGTTTAGCCAAGGCGCGATTATTGCTAATTGAAAAGCTAAATTCAAAGAAACCTGCCCAAAGCTCATGAAAATCGCTAATGTTTGAAACAGACGGTCTTCCTGAATAGTAATCTTCTATTCCTTTAGTTGTTCCAAATTCTAACAGCATACGGGCTACAATTTCATTATAATCCCATTGTTTGCCATCATTCTGCACTCTGTTATTATAAAGGAATAAGTGATGGTCAGGTGAGGGTGGTTCACACCTGTAACCCCAGCACTTTGGGGTGCCGAGGCGGGCAGATCACTTGCGGTCAGGAGTTCAAGACCAGCCTAAGCAACATGGTGAAATCCCATCTTTACTGAAAACATAAAAATTAGCCAGGCATGGTGGTGCGCATCTATAGTCCCAGCTACTTGGGAGGCAGAGGCAGGAGAATCACTTGAACCTGGGAGGCAGAGGTTGCAGTGAGCTGAGATTTGCCACAGCACTCTAGCCTGAGACTCTGTCTCAAAAAAATTAAAATAAAAGGAATGAGTTATGTTTCTTTATAGTCTCAGGTTATCGGTTATATGGAATTTCTTTTTTCCTGGAAAGAGATGGGTCATATACTGTGAAGTTTTAGACTTGGATTTTATTTGTTTGTTTGTTTTAGTAGAGATAGAGTTTCTCTATCTTGGTCACGCTGGTCTCAAACTCCCGACCTCAGGTGATCCACGCGCCTGGGCCTCCAAAAGTGCTGGGATTACAGGCGTGAGCCACTGCGCCCAGCTAGACTTGGATTTTTTTTAATGCAATTATGCTACAATAAGAATATTAAAGGCAACAGAAACAGGAACTCATGGGATTGAGAAAATGGTAAGAATTCAAGCCTTATAAAAGAATCAACACCTACAACAATATGACAACCATACTATATAGAAAGTACTTTTTACTAACAATTACAAT